AGAGAGAATAGTGCAACAATGAATGAATGGAAACCCAAAATCTCTGTAAATGTTTATGAAAATTAATAAAATATAATTATAGGAAAAAAAAGACGAATTGCATTAGGGAAATCTGCTGTCAGGGACTTCAGAGTGCTAAAGAGCAATGTTGTCAGTCTAGACATTAAGGTGTGCCTGATCCAGGCCATGGTCTTCACAATTACTTGCTATGCATCAGAGAGCTGGGCAATGATCAAGGATAACAGAAGAATTGATGCCTTGAATTGCAGTGCTGAAGAAGAGTATTGAACATACCATGGACTGCCGAGAGAACTAACAGGTCTGTCCTGGAGAGGATGAATAAGGCTGCTTCTTAGAGGCAAGGATTCTTAGGCTCTTTCTCACTACTTTGGGCACATAGCCAGAAGGAACTAGTCTTTGAAGAAGGATATCATGCTTAGAAGGGTTGAGGGACAGCCCAGGAAAGGAATGAGATCTTCGATGAGATGGATTGACAAAATAACTGGGGTAATTAGGGTATGAAACAGCATATGAACAAGAGCCTATGGTGATGAAAGAAGTTCAGGCTGCTTTGAAGGAAATGGCAAAAAATAAGACTCCAGGAATAGATGATACACCAACTGACATATTTCAGCTTACAGATGCTGCCCTAGACGTGCTCACCAAGTTGTGCCAAGAAATCTGGAGAAAAACCACTTGGCCAACTGACTGGAAGAGGTCTATATTTGTTCCTATGCCAAAGAAAGGTGACCCAACAGAGTGTGGACCTATTGCACAATCTCACTGATTTCACATGCAAGCAAGATTTTGCTGAAGATTATCCAAAAATGACTGGAACAGCACATCAGCAGAGAACTACCAGAAGTCCAGGCTGGGTTTAGAAGGGGTCGTGGTACTAGGGATATTGTAGCTGATGTTAGATGGATCTTGGCTGAAAGCAGGGAATACCAGAGGAATGTCTATCTGTGTTTCATTGACTATGCAAAGGCATTTGACTGTGTGGATCATAACTGTGGCTGACTCTGAGAAGAATGGGAATCCCAGAACACTTGATCATGCTAATGCGAAACCTATACTTGGACCAGGAGACAGTCGTCAGAACAGAGCAAGGGAACACTGCATGGTTCAAAATTGGGAAGGGTGTACACCAGGGATGCATCCTATCTCCATATCTTTTCAACCTATATGCAGACCAGATTATCCGGGAGGCTGGGCTCTATGAGGAGAAATGTGGGGTCAACATTGGTGGACGATTTATCAACAATCTGCATTATGCAGATGACACAACCCTGCTTGCTAAAACTGAAGAGGACCTGAAGCGTCTGCTGCAGAGGGTCAAGGACTGCAGTCTACAATATGGATTGAGGCTCAATGTGAAGAAGACAAAGATTCTCACCACTGGATCAATTGGCAGCATCAGGATGGATGGTGAAGAGATTGAGATTGTACACAGCTTTAGTTTGCTTGGCTCCACAGTCAACACTCTTGGCACCAGTAGCCAGGAAATTAAAAGGCACATTGCCATGGGAAAGTCTGCTGTTAGGGACCTCTCCAAAGTACTGAAGAGCAATGGTGTCTCTCTGGAGACTAAGATGCGTCTGATACAGGCCATGGTCTTTGAAATTACTTGTTATGCATCAGAGAGTTGGACAATGACCAAGGAGCATAGAAGGAGAATTGATGCCTTTGAGCTGTGATGCTGGAGAAGAGTATTGAGAGTACCATGGACTGCCAGGAAAACAAACAGATTCATCATGGAAAGGGTTGAACCGGGTGGCTCCTTGGAGGCAAGGATTCTGAGGCTCTGTCTAACATACTTTGGACATGTTGTGAGGAGAGACCGGTCTTTGGAGAAGGACATCATGCTTGGGAGGGTGGAGGGACAGTACAGAAGGGAAAGGCCCTCTATGAGGTGGATTGATGCAGTGACTGGGATAATCGGGATGGGAGTGTCAGAGACAGTGTGATTGGCACAGGACAGAGCAGAGTTTAGGTCTGTTGTACATATGGTCGCTATGTGTCGCAAGCGACTCATAACAACAACAACAACAATTAGGGTAGGCGTGTCAGATACAGAGAGATTAGCTGAGGATACAGCAGGGTTCAGAGAGGTCGCTATGAGTTGTAGGTGACTTGACAGCACATAACAATAGTTATTCAGATCACGGACTCTGAATTTCAAGATAACAATAATGTTTCCAAATAGCTTCTGCTATACCTAGGTGGTATAGCACTGGTCTGTGCGTTGCTGTAGAGGTAACTCGTGGTTGCTGTGATGCTGAAGCCTGTGACAGTGATGTGCCAATCGTGGTAATGGGCACCCATGGTGGACAGTGTTGGCTGGAGCTTCCCGACTAAATCAAGCCTGGAAGCAGGAGCTGCATCCACTTCCAAAATGGCTTGCCTCTGGAAACTCTATGTATGAACAGTGCTCAGGCTGTTCGTTCATAGGGTCGCTATGAGTCGTCTACGACTCGATGGCATTAAACAACAAACAACAATCCAGTTGGTAGGCAATTTTGAACTAGGAGCTCTGATAGTAAGTAGCTGCACTGCAATTCCAAAGTCATGCAGTGAATCCACCTGATGTTCCACAAGAGGATTTGCAATCTCCTCCCATGGGCTTTATTGCCTTTGAAATCCCGCTGGAGGGTCAGTTGTAAATCAGTTCCAATTTGAAGGCACACAACACATTTAATTAAGTAGCAAGGATTTACCATACCAAGTTTCTTGGCACTTTTGTTAAATTACATTGGGGAAAAGTATAAGAGTAATTGAAAAGCAACTAATTATAAGTAATTATAAGTCAAATTATGTTCATACCACAATTAGTGTTTGAGGTGGTTTAGTAGACTGATTTTTTTCTTTCAATAAGCAACCATCAAACAATTGAATAGCTTGTAAAACACTTGTAAAGAAACATCTCTTTTATCTTTTACCCAAGTATAACAATTACATCCTCTTTCAATTAATACAATAAACAATCATTATTATCTTTTGCCCAATCTCTACTTCACCAACTAATAGATTTAAGCACTCCGTAGAGTAGTATTCTGGAGAGTTCATAACCCAGTTTGAATCGGTGGCTTATAAAAAACTTGTCAAGAGTACCTAGGTCGCATGTTAGCTTTTTGCAACAGGTTTCATGAATATGAACAAGTCCACCTTTTTGTAAGACAATACCCCTCAGGGTATCTAGAATGTAAAGTTAAATGAAGTCTTTTTTCATGCTGACTCCTTCATTTTATTGTACTTTCAGCTAAGTCTTTTGTCTATTCAAATTCTTTTTTGCCAGGTTGTTTTATTGTTTCTTTCAGATTTTCAAGGAAAAGTGGTAACTATTTTAGCTCAATTTTGCCACCTTAGGCTAAACTTTTATTACTCATCTTGACAAATATTTATTATCATCGATTACTAAAATATTAGATCGATGGATTTCAAAGTTACTCTTAGTGACAGTCCTGGAATTCCTAGTGTATTAATTTCCATGTAAACCTTTCCGAAGCACGTGAATTGAGATAGTAATACTGAAATTCAGAGAGGGGTTGAGGGAGTAAGGTTCCTTTCCATTAGTTGATTGATTCCTTAAAATCCAGATAGAAATAATAATTAGCTTGATTATATTAAATAAAATCGTTTTATAAGTAGTGTTGCAGAGAATTTGCCAGTTTTTCACCGTGGCCGCCGCGCTCAGCCAACGGGGTGGCTTTGGGGAGCCACATGTGAGATGTGCAGGGCTGATTGCCACGTTGCCCTTTAAAAACAGAGAGGACACTTCTGCCTATTGTGTAAACCGGTCGAGAATTGCTTTTATCAGCATATCAACTAAAGCGTGAGCTGAATTAAAGTCTTGTAATCTGATTCTGGGCAAGGTAAGCACCGCGGACAAATGCTGACTTTTAAATCCAGTTGAGGTTGCCTTGGACAAACTCATTTCAGAGAATTCCCAAAAATACCTTTACAAACGCGTTGAAATGCACGAAATCAAATTCATCAGGCCAGTCCAACCGTGGCTACTGCCCCCGGCGACCCCGGCCCACTCGCCTAAGGACCCACCCATGATCGCAGCTAAACGGCTGTTTTGTGTAGCGCCACTCACTCGGTTCCCGCTTTCCCCACCTATTCTGCATTCGACTCAAGCTTCCCGGTTCCCAACAGGACTATACAGCACCATCTCCCGCCCAGCAGGACGACAGCCGCGCGAACGGCGGGCAGCCAACAGCTCTCCGCGCTCTTTGCAGGCGGTGACCAGCCAGCCCCGCCCTAGTTGCTAGTGATTGACAAGCGGCTGTACCTAAGAGCCGCAGGGGCTGGGCATGTGCGTCACTTCCGGGACTGTCGCGGGAGACGAGCTATATAAGGTCACTGGTCACGCAGCACCCTCGCTTGCACAGTATGGCCGGCGATATTAGCTAGCGTTCGCTCTGCTGTCTGTAACGAGGAAACAGCGGACTACAAGAGACTGGACTGTATCTGCCTCTATTTCCAACAGACTTACGTTCAACTTTCTCTCACAAAAAAAAAAACCGCCGGGAAAATTTTATTAATCCTTTTTTTTAAAAAAGTTAATATAAAATTATAGAAAAAAGGAACCTGAACTTTAGTTAAAACACAGCTGGAACAATCCGCAGCGGCGGCGGCAGCAGCGGGAGAAGAGATTTAATTTAGTTGATTTTCTGTGATTGTTGGTTGTTCGCTAGTCTCACGGTGATGGAAGCTGCATATTTTTTCGAAGGAACGGAGAAGCTGCTGGAGGTTTGGTTCTCCCGGCAGCAGCCCGACGCGAACCAAGGATCTGGGGATCTTCGCACCATTCCAAGGTTGGTATTCAGGATTCTGTTCGCCGGCAGATCCGGGTTTTCGGGGCTGTCGCCGCCTGGGAGACACCAGACCCAGGAGGGGCGGGGGCTGGGTTCGCAGAGCCTTCAGGTGAAGCTCCGCCTGGGAGTGTCGTTTCGGTGGCAGGGGGTGCCGGGTTTGCGGGGTGCTGGGGAGCAGCCGGTCCGCGCGGGGCCGGAGCGGGTTTCCTGGGTTGCGGTTGCCGAGCCTGACGCTACCCCTGGGGGGAGGGGATGGGGCCGGCGGCGCCGCCGCGTGCTCAGGTAACGTCCCCTGCGGGCGGGCGGAGTGGCGGGCTCGGCCGCTCCGGGCGATTTCCCCCGCGCGTGAGGCCCCGCGCCTTCGACTGGCCACTGTGGCGTGACGGGCCTGGATCGCGGGACCAGGGGTGGGGGGTGCCTCGCGAGTTCCCTCTTGGCAGGTGTGGCTCATCGGGCTTAGGCGCTAATTCGGGTTTGCCCATCTCGAGGCGTGGAGGGGAGGGAGCCAGCGGATCCCGGGCAGGACTCGTTCTGCGCGCCATGGCCAAGAGGAGGGGCCCCTCCTGGCCTTGGGCTAGGGGAGCAGGCCTCCCGCCCGCGTCCCTCTAGCAGCATGTGGCGCTCGGGCGGCGGGGATTGGGCTTGTGCAGGCGTGTCGCAGTGACTGGGCCCCACGGCCGCTTTAACGTGCGCTGCACCAAAGCATTTTGGGGGCGCCCGAGCGGACGACTGTGCAGCGGCCCAGGAGATGGCTGCGAGTCGGCCGAGTTGCTCCCCAGTCTTTTGACCTTGGGTTGTGTAACCTGTTACGAGTCGAGATCCGGGAGAGCGGAGGGGAGCTACGAGGTGGAATACAGTTTTGCCTTCGTTTATGGGAGGCCCGTCTGACACTGTGCGTAAGACCTTTAATGCTTTAAGCTCGAGGACAGAAGTGTGGGACCCCAGCCTTGTACGGTGGACAGACACGCCAGGGGGCTTCTGGGCGGATCGCACGCACATAAAAGGAAAGATCTTTCTAGTGATCTTGCTGGAAACGAGAGCGCAAACTAGCAAACACAATAAATAAGCAGTGAGGAAAGATGCCTTGGCCTTCTCAGGGGAGCTCAGGCCATTCGTAAGCCTGGGGCTCCCTGAGACCCTCCACCACGTTCCCTGCCTTTTTCGCGCGAGGGTGACGGTTCCTCGGTGGAACCGGCACGGCCCCTTCATTGAGCAGCGGCGACCAATGAGCTGCTGGAGCCGACCAACAGACTGGCCTGAGGGTGTGGGCCAATAGGCGTTTGAGGAATGTTGGCTGTGCTCGCCGCCTGTCCTTTGACAAAAAGCAACTGGAGAAGGCTCTGCAGGCAGACACATGCTGCTGCTACTTAAGGCACTTTGGGCTCCCAGTTACTAGCAGTGTGTATCTTAAAGGATTATTCCTTTGTAGCCGGAAAACATCGTGTTAATGAAAAGAGCACAGATTCTTTTTCTGGTGTGCACGACACTTAAAATGTCTGCTGTCGCTCTTACTATGTGCTAGGCTCCCGGGTATGTTAATATGGGAAGAGATTACATTTCTTATCATAAATACAGAGAAGCTTAGTATTTCCTCCATTTCGCAGATGCAAGAAACTTACTGGTGTTGGTGATAGTCGCATGGTAAAATGGTTATGCTACGGATTTTTGCCTAGAGAAACTTTGCAAGGAAGAATTAATCTTAGCACGTGAATGGAATTGTGTCTTTTTGACTCTTTGAATGTTTTAGCCTTAAATTACTTGTAAGCGCACATTATTACTAGGAAGAAAATTTCGTCGTCGTCCCGTCGTCCCCCCCCCCCACACACACACACACACACTCTGGTTTTTAACACGTTGCCGCAAATGACGGCCCAGAAAATATGTTTCTAAGCACGGTCTCAGTTTAAAAGTGTGTGGCCTCTTTGGTCGCGGCAGCGAAAGCGAGATGACGAAGGGAGCGTCATCGTTTGGAAAGCGTCGCAATAAGACACACGCTATGCCGCCGCTGTGGCTCCAAGGCCTACCACCTCCAGAAGTCCACTTGTGGCAAGTGTGGCTACCCCGCCAAGCGCAAGAGAAAGTATAACTGGAGTGCCAAGGCTAAAAGGCGAAATACCACCGGTACTGGTCGCATGGGGCACCTAAAGATCGTTTACCGCAGATTCAGGCATGGATTCCGTGAAGGAACAACACCGAAACCCAAACGGGCAGCTGTTGCAGCATCCAGTCATCTTAAGAATTCCACTGTTTAGATATGCAATAAATGTTCTGGTATTATTTAAAAAAAAAAAAAGGGTGTGGCAACGTGTATCAGACATTTAGGGCAGAGTAACACACTCTCGTTTTGAGGGGCAATCATTCATTTTCTCCATTCTCTTAGTGTTAAACCACTGTTGAGCATGCATTACCATAGTCTCATAAAGACATCCATTGGCAAGAGCCAGTTCCCAAGACTTTGTCATGTCAAGCAAGGTTGAGGTAGTTAAGTTCATTATCAAGAAATATAGAGAGGGTACCAGAAAAATAAAGTGCCATTGAGTCAGAACTGGCTCATTGCTGACTCTCCATTGGGGGGGAGGGTTCAAGAGGCTGTAAATTCCAAGAAAGATGATTACCCATCTTTATCTCACAGAGCAACATGCCTTTGGGTTGGCAGTGCAACTCCTTACCCACTCAGCGACCTACTACTAGGAGACTACTCCCTACAGGGGGAAAAATAGGTGCTTGATCTTTTCTAAATTGTGTTGGAGAAGGGTTAAATATACCATGACTGCCAGAAGAACAAACAAATCTGTCTTGGAGGAAATGCAACGAGGTTGTAGTCCTTAGAAAAATTACAGTGCTGGGAAAGGTATAGTGAGAGTCATTGAAAGAGGAAGACCTCAAGATAGTTTGGCAAAGTAATTGCAACAATGGGTTTGAGTATCCCTTGTTGGGGGGGATTGTGATGAATGTGCTGGATAGGGCAAGGACCTGTTTATAGAGTCGCAGAGAGTGACCTTGAACTCAATACTCGAACAAATCAGTAGTTTTACCATTCATTTTGGGGGAAAGGCAGATATAAGGAGATTCCCTTCTCTTCTTTTTCCACCCAGATGAGTGAGATTTCTGAATTACTGGAATCATCTCCATAAAAGGGAGCTCTGGTGGCCTAGTGCCAAGAAGCTGTGCCATTTGACCCAAAGTTCTGATCAACCAGCTGCTCCTGTTGTGATCTCCCATTGCATTTACTGCCTCTGAAAACCTGAAGGGGGTTTAACTATGAGTTGGTTCCTACTTTATGGCACAAAACAGCCATCCTTAAGGTAGCATTCAGCCCCACTGGATGGATGGATGGAGCATGTCCTCTCTATTAAGGGGGGGGGGGGTGTTGTCATTTGTTGAGATTGATTAGTAGTGGTAGCTAACAATGTTAAATTCAAAATCAACAATGACAAATACAGTCCACTCGTTAATGCTAAAAGAAAATTTTATTTAGGAGATTAAGGTTTTGTGGTAGGGTTTTTTGGTGTGTTTTGGATTTTTTTTAAAAAAAGGTAAAATAGTAAAGATATAGATTCATTAGAAAGTTACATTCATTCCTTCCTCCTTGAAAGGAAACACAGAGGAAAGCTAAGAGATTTAATTACTGCTGGAAGGGGTCTCAGTTGCTGTTAATAAGAGTGGTGAAGTGTATTTGAAGTGTTTTAGGAGGCATTTTACATTCTGTTTCCCCATTGTTCTTTAGTAACTTATTAAAAAGATGCAACAATAGTACAGTGAATTCCTGTTTGTCTTTTACTCTTAATTCCATAAATGGTCATAGTGGTGGAGTGTGATATTGAGCAGCTGACCAAAAGATTCCAATCCACCAGCTACTTAGAAAGAAACAAGGCATTCTCCAGTTAAGAGTTTATAGCCTCAGAAACCTGTAGGATTATTGCAGAGTCAATGGCAATGAGTTTGAGTTGTATTGTAGAGGAGTTTTTTGTTTTGTTTTTTCCTTTTGTGATGTGTATAAGTAGTTAACTAACTCGAAAGTTAGTGGTAGAACTAACCAGCACTCTGGTGGAGAAAGCAGTGGCAGTCAGGATTTACAACCCTGGAAACTATGGGACAGTTCTGCTATATTCTGTTGTTCCTGGGTAATACTGAACACACTGCCTTCTAGTTTGAACCATCTTGGCTATTGCTTGTCTGAGGCTATGCATCGCGTGGCTGAAAATCGCCTTTTTTTCTCCTGTCAAGTAGCTAGTGGATTTGAACCAAAATCTATTTGAGAGAAAGAGAAGTCTGTAAATCTGTAAATTTTTATGTTGACACCTTTCTGTATTTTGAGGAATTTTTAGTTACTTGAATTTGCATGACTTTGTAAGGTTCCTGGAATTAAAAAGCTATATTGTCATTATAAAAGTAAGTAAATATGGCTCACATCCCTATTGGTTGATTGGTTGTTGTGTATAGTAGAGTCAGAACCGACCCATAGCTGACCCTCTCATGGATTTTCAGAGGCAGTTGATCCCACAGGAGGAGATTGCCCATCCTCCTCCCGCGGTGGGTGATGAATTCCAACGGGTGGCTTTGGAATTGCAGTGTACCTTCTTGCCACTAGGCCACCAGAGTTTCATTAAAATGTAGATAAGACTAAAATTTTGTTAAAGGATAGCATAAAATAAGTAAATTTCACAGTGTTTATAAAAGACATTACACCAAGATTGGGGCGGTGGGTGGGGGAGGGGAGGGAAGGCACACATTCCCAAGAAAAAAATATCTTCAAAATGCTAAAGACAGTAAAAAGATAACCAAAGACTGTTATCCAGTCTTTCTTCCAGGTACAAAATATGAAGATGCTTTTTTTAAAAAGTGGTAGGGATTGGAGGTAGTGTGGAGTTTTGTGAAGAATTAGTGCTATGAAAATTATTTCAAAGACTGGGCACTAAGAGGTGGGCAGAAGCCACATAGAGACATCTTGAAGGCCTTATTCCAGCACAGTTTAAAAGAATAGGGCATAGAGAATCTGG